CTCGAAGGCCTCTGAGGTTTTTAAAGCAGACAAATCAAAGTGAGCCGCTCCTTCATCCTCCTCACACCCTCGGCTGACTCCTCCCCCTCGTGCAGATGTCACAGACGGGCTCGGCGGCGGTCTCTGAGGGCATACAGGACGCTGTGCGCTTCGTCAAATGCCTCGCCGACGGCCGACTGGACTCGAGTGCTCCACTGCTGCAGCTGAGGACGCTCCTTCAGGACGTCTCTGCCCCCGCCCAGAGGCTGCAAGGAGACACACTGAGCATGCTCAGAACCAGACAGACACAAACAGGGTGCGTTCAGAGTGCCCGCTCCTCTCGGGAGCGTTTCTAATCACAGCTGTCAGTCAGAGTAAGGAAAGGAGACGGTGGAGCATCCTTCATGAGAACAGAAGCAATCATCTGAACTCAGTCTGAAGGTTCTCAGACGTCCAGCTCATCGTAGTCTGAGGAGCTCGGAAAGAAAAGCTTCAGGACTGAATCCGAGAAGCTTCTTCAGCTCTAAGAACAACGACTGGAGAGTCCCTAAGAGGGTCGCGGACCCCCTATTGATCCTCATCACGCGAGTATCATGTCTAACTGCTCGCTGGGGCAGGGACACGGAAAAGTGCAACACAAACAGGAAATAGACATGCTCTGCCTTCAAAGTAAAAGCTGCACTTTTGTTGGCAGCGGTGCAGAATTACAACTTTTACTTTGAAGGGGAAGCTTCTCCATTTCCTGTTTGTCTCAGTTTCACTGCAGCTGTTTGGAGACGAGCTCTCTGAACGTACCCGAAGAGACAAAAGGCTTCTCTGAGGGGGGCGGGGCTTGAGCATCCAGAAACTGACCTGCATGAGCTCGCACGCCGCGAGCAGGTCGGCCACAGTGATGTCATCACCGCAGAGGAAAGGCTGGCGGCGAAGAAACATGGACTCCAGTTTATCCAGCGTGTCGTCGAGGTCGGAGAGAGCGCGATTCAAACGGGCCTCATCCACCGGAGAGCCAGACTGGGCTGGGAGCAGCACCTGAGGTGGGCGGAGACACAAAGCACACCTGAGCTCCTTGATGGCATTACAGCAGCTTTATATTGCTGATGATGTCAGAACAGGTGCGGCGCCGTCACAGAACCCCACGCTGCCGTCTCCTGATCAGCTGATTTCAGATATTTGAGACGTGTTTGGCTCCATACCTCCAGGAGGAAGACTTTAGCAGCGTGCGGTCGTGTGTTGGTGTGATGCCACGCTGTGTACTCGTCCACTCGGGCTCGTCTCTCTGGTTGCCGTGGATACCAGTGCTCTGGGACATCGTACTTGGTGGTGAGGTACTTCAGGATGGCGTCGCTGCAACACATGACACAACCTGACGTTTACACTGAGCATGTGATTCC